GCAGATTGCAGACATTTTCACCAAATCTCTTACTCGCCTCCATCATAATTTTCTAGTGAGCAAATTGATGCTTGTGGACTTACCATCATCAATTTGAGGGTGGGTATTAGAGGAAATTAGGCAAATTAGTTTACTTTATTACCTCGTATAGCGCACAAAATCAGGGATTAATTCCCTTGTATAATTTCCATATATAACCATGTATTATTCTATAAATTAAAGGCGATACAAAGGAGAAATTATCAAGCACAATTGGCAAAGTCAACCAAATCGTACAGCAGCATAAAACTTCTTCCCCTGATTCTACAGACTGAGCAACTAACGGCAAAATGGGTGGACGGGATGACCTGGATGCAGTGGGGGGGGAGCATGGGGAGTAGTCAGGGGCGTGCCCCCCACGCTCGTGGATGGTCGGAATCGGAATGGCCTGTTGGGGGACTGAAGTACGTGGGGAAACAGGAGGTCGGACCATAAGCATTACACGGATTAATTTCCATTCTAGATACCCTTCAAGAATTTTTTCCTGTGGTGAATCTTCTTAAACTTAGTGTCATGAATTGACATGACAAAGAATTATAGGTTTCAATCGAATTAGTCAGGATAGAGACATGCTTACTAGTTATGCGTCAGAGCAACCTATATCACATGGTATTTTGCCATATGATAGAGAATCGGTCAATTGGAGTAGAGTCTGAAGATGTAGCTGAAGGCCAAAATTTTCCTTAAGAATACCTGAAATTGATGATTTCAGTTTCCAAAATATTATTGTCTTCAGAACAAATATGAGGACTTCTAATGAGACTCTTGTAACTGAAAATTATGTTTTTGTCTAAAATGTACATAAATTTGGAGTTCTCATGTCTCAAACTTCAGTCTTTAAATTATCTGGTTGAATCAATGCTGAAGGCAAGTAAATTGTCGGCCTATTTCAATACCTATAAAATGAAACTACAGATATTAGCACTACCTGAAGCATCTCACCATTTTCTTAAATGGGTCAATCAAAATTGATGACGTCAATTATTAAGCCTTTCAATTGAAGTGATGTGGCTTCATTTATGGTTTTGTAGGTGTCCTTGACAAAGTTGGGATTGAGCCACAAATTCAACGGATTGGTAAATACAAGAGTGCAGGGGACCGACTTGCGCGAACAGATATATCTGACGAAAACCGTGAGACACTGACTGCGTTGCTCGATAACATTTATGGAAATTGGCTTGACAAAGTTTCACTTGCAAAAGGTACTTTCGCGCTTCATAGTTGGGTTTGACTGTCAAGTAACAGACTTTTTTATCTGGTATCTTTTTATTCTTGTGTAGGAAAGAAGAAGGAAGATATTGAAAACTTTGTCAATGAAGGAGTTTATGAAGTTGAGAGACTGAAAGAAGGTTGCTGGATAACGGATATAAAATATGATGATGAGGTAAACTATTTAAGTGCTTCTTCTGAGAATTATGGTCCTTGGAAATTTGCAATGTTTCTAACCTCTTGGTTTGCTCAATTTCCTAATATGCCGACATTTTATTCAAATAAGTGCTTCTTCAAGCAGCGCTTTGACTTGCGCATATTTCCTTATCCAGTTTATCTATGAGAATCCGAAGCCAAACCAGGCTGTATGGCCTGGACAAATCCTATTAGCCAATAATTTTGATATTCTTGATTTATTTTAAACAAATGTATGCACTTTGATTTTTTTCCTCTAATCTGCGACTTTTGAAAAGAATTTTGAGAGCACAATTTACTGAAGCTCAACGAATTGTTGTTGCACAATTAATATTCCAAAATTTATTTTGGTGAGTATATATTTTACCTTACTTTACTTTCAACTGGGAATAAAAACTATACGGAGAAGAGGACTCAGTTAGTTAGTGAAGAGAATCCAGTAGGAAAGAGACTAAGCCCTTAAATAGGTCAGAAAAAATCGGCAGTGTCATGTCAAATGAATCCATTACGATGCATCTAAAGAATCCTGCATTTTCCTGAAGAGATATGCACATTGCTATGTTATAACTTTTGACAGATATATGCATTACACCATTTAGTTGATTGAAGATGTAAAAAATGTTACGTTGCAAGTGTTAGTGCATTTAGAAAACTTTGCTTCTTTAAAAATGCCATGTTCTGGATATTCTGGTTATAGCAATTCATTTTCTATGTTAGCGTATGTGAGAAAGATCAATATTGTGCCTAGTCTCTTGGAAACTTCATTAACCCTTACACTTTTAGCAACAAATACAATACTCCTTTCTATAAAATCTGGCCTAAACTGTATAGCGTTTGATTGGCTTGTTTATAACTTCTTTTATGTTTGCCATAATTGGTATTAACACACTGACAACTAGAAGTCCTTTTTTCTCTCTTCGGGGTGAGGTAGGAAGCTGAAATTTTTCAGTTAAATGCCAGCTTCTCTTCATTTGACTAATAATCCAGATACTTTTTTATATAACTTCTCAGGTTATTTCTCTGTTGAAAGAGCGCTTGGGATTTTCAAATACCAAAACTCTGCCTACAGTTGACTACAGGTATTTCTTTTGTTAATTTATATTTTTCATTGTTGTTAGATCCAATTATTGGATGACACCATTGTTCTTTCTTGTTAAGGAATGAAATACGTTAGGAATCCCATATATTAGGCTAGAGAATAATTATGGTTTATTATGTTTCTCTATTTGTTTACAAACTTTCCAGACTTTTAACGTTTCTATATAATGAAACTGAGGAGGAAAAGATAATTACCTTCTCCCCAATTTTATATGAAACCTATTTCTTAACATGGTATCAGAGCATTGTTATGAGGGTTTGGTATTTCTACAGCTTCTTCCACTTCAATCATTTTTTTGGCCGCTTTACATATATCGAACATGTTGTCTTGTGGTGTTCAGCCGGAAGTTCCAAAATTGATATGTTTAAGATGTTCCCAAATTTCCATAGTTGTAGACATACGAGGGCATAAGACTCGATATGAGGCTCAGTGCTACTAATCATAAGTCCAATGATTGTGTTATCCTCTTGATCCCACGGATCATTAAGGGTGTGTTTGATTACATTTATATTTTCCATGGAAAATTGATATTTTCTACCCAAATTCTTACTTGGAGTGTTTGATTGCTATTTTTTTCCATGGAAAACGTTTTTCAACTTTTGAAAATATGCCTAATTTTCCTTGTTTTTAAGGAAAACATTTTCCTTGGGTAGAGGTGGTTTTTATTTTCC